TTTCCAAATACAACATAAAAAAACACATAAATAGCACTTCTTTAGGAAGATTCATTCCTTTATGTGTTTCAAATAGGTTGGTCAATCATACTTACAAATACAATGGTGTTTCTGTCTTTATATACAGCTGTGTGTGTACTTATATAGATAGAAAATGTAATCGTCCAGTAGTGTGGGAAATCCAGTCTTCAGCAAAGAGAATAGAAACAGAGGACCAGCAAAATGGTATTGTTAGAATGAAAACAAAATATTTATCACTTACTTCCCTGATGAATGTTTACATTCAGGGACTTGAAAGGTTTCTTTGGAGGCTGCGTGGAATCTCTTGCAGATACACCGGTACATCCAAGAATATAGAATGTTGGTTTGATGAGAACAAATTAAACCTAAGCCACAGTTTGTGAACAGAAAAATGAGAACTGCTCTTGCTCTTTTCACAAACTTTTATCTCTATATTGCTTTAATTTTACTGTGTTTAATTTCAATGTTAGTTGAAATATGAACCATTTATGATCGTTGTCTTAAATGCATATTCGTGATTGTGTTTTTACAATTGTATTGGTTGCAGCGAGTTGCTATAAATTTGTAAGTTTTATACTGGTCACAAATTTTCTGCTACTAAAATCTCCTTCAGCCAAATAATGCTTGTGTAAAGTTATGTTTGAAATGATAAATATAAATATTTAGTAAACCCTATAATACAATATTCAATAAAGATTTTAATATTTAAAGAATGAAAAGTTTCCTGCGTGTTCTGCGCTTTCAAGAGGCTTTTATTCTGTGTGTTGTCATATGTCTGTTTTTGATTGCTCTTGTTTAATTTTACAGTTCAATAAGTTTTCTTTGTTGTTGTTGTTTTTTATTTTTTATTTTTTATTTTATTTTTTATCTACAGCTTGAGCAGAAAGTACATGATATAGATAATTTTTACTCGAGTATGAATAAAATGCAAACAAAAATGCCTAAAGGTAACTCAGCTACAAAGGATAAAGATAAAGAGAAATATATTCCAAGCATTAAGAAGCAACAGCAGGATGCCTCACGTAGAGAAGCGGCTGCTTCAAAAAGAATGCAAGATCTCATACGCCAGTTCGGCACAATACTACGCCAGGCAACTACTTTTAATTTACCATTGATGTTTGTGTTGATATTCTGCATTTTTTTGAAACAAGTCATCTATGTGCACCTATCTGTTCAAATGTTAATTGTCTATTTATTTAGACATGGTTTTTGTATGATTTTCCGAGACATTTGTTCTATCATCAAGTATCTATTTGCATTCATGGTCATGTAATTTTGAATTTCTTTTGCATCATCTACATCAATTCATGATGATTCCAAGAACCAGGTAACAATCTAAACCTAGGATTATATACATATAATATTTTCATGTTTAAACTCTAGATCTTTGTTTCCTTTAAAAATATAGGTGTGTTCTTTTGAACTTTTGTTTTCTTTTTTCTGCTCTTTCATTGGGCTTGAGAGAGAATACCATTTATCCTATACAAATATATTTTTCTCTAGTATATGGACAGTTGTATACAACTGTCACTCTGGTTTTATGTTACCAACACAGTTATAACCGCCACACTTCAGTTTGCCTAGTTTCTGCAACTATGTGTAGCATACGTAATAGAACTAGGTTCAATTTTACAATCTATCATAAATAATACAAGATTGATCCTCTGAAATTCTCTCTAATAGGGCTTTTATTCCAAACAATTTAGTTTGATACGTTGATGTTGTAAATAATAGAAATATCGTAGAGGATCCAAGATTTGTTATTTTATTTCATAGTTTCCTTTTATTCAGAATCTATATTTTCCTAATTTAGGGACAGTTGTTCCCTTATAATAGGAAGATGAAAATAATGTATTTTTCATGTTTGAAATTAGTAAAATACTCAGCCCCTTCATTTTTCAACTTGGTATTAGAGCTCCCAATCTTGGGAGCTTTGTTTCTGCTACTGCTATACCCAAACAAGGATGTCATTGTCGTTCTATGCATTGCTGTTGCTATTGCTAAGATCGGTGGCAAGTCAGGCAGGTGAAAGTTGGATGTAGCTGCCACTCTTTGTATTGTCACTATGCATGCTGATAACGACGAGCCAGGAAGGTGTGCCCTTAACGAGCGACCTTCGCACTTGAAGTTTTGGGGCATAATCCTGTCCCATGTGCTACCTTTTGTCCTGGCGTGTGTAGGCCATGCGTTCTCTTCCAATGAGACCCACTTACCGTTGACCACCTTGGCAAGGTCATTGGACCCTATCCAGCCCATTTCAGGGGCTGGTGTTGTCAAGATCTGTGTCGTTTGGTCTAGATCTAACTGAACTTCTTTGGTTCTTGTTCTTGTAGGTGGTGATGACTGGGAAGAAATTTATTCCCTTTGGTGCCAATATATTCATAGAGTTCTTAAAGGACATTCGAAGTTGAGTCATATTGATGGAGGGGGTCCTCTCCTTGATGACTCAAAATTTGAGGCACGAGACAATGAAGATTCTCTAATTATGATCTAAATGTGACACTCAATGATTGTGGGAATAAGCTGGAATTATTTGTTTCATACCTTTGCACGAGTGATGTGGGATGATCCAAGTCTGACCTTCTCCTTAAAGGATTTTGTTGCCTGTTATGGTATTGAAAGTAGGATCTTAATACAAAGTAAGGTATTGTCATCGTATCAAAGTATCAAGGAATTTAAAATGGATTGTGGATTGCATTGGACTAGTACCAGAGTTTGAAGATGTGTAAAAATGATACCACAGCTCCTGTAGAAGTTGTGGAGAGAGGAAGATTTTTAAATTTCTCCATGGCATAAACCCATAATACAATTTTATTAAGGTACCAATCTTGAAAAATGAGGAACTTCCATCATTATCTGATGTATTTTATACTGTACATAGTGAAAAGACTTAGAGATTGGTCATGCTTGATAGTGGACACTTCAACATAGGTTGAATTATGGCAAAGGGGGGGGGACCCTACAAGGGCTCAAAATATGTAAATCACGAGTTCTCTAATTTTGTTACTAATAATGGAATGATTCATGGACTGACATGTAAATATCCCTCAACAAAATGGGGTTGCAGAAAGAAAAAATGGTCATCTTTTAATTGTCACATCCTTATTGAAAGGTTACCTATTCGTGTCCTAAATAGTATTAGTCCTATTGAATTCATAATGTCTTTTGTTCCTTCTTCCTTACTATTAAGTTTACAGTATCATGTATGTGGACGTGTTGTTTGTTCATTTTCATAATCCTCATAGGTAAGTTACATCCAAGGGCAATCAAATGTGTTTTTATTTGATGATAACCACTTTTAAGATCAACTTTGGAAAATATGGTTGCACTATGAAGTTTGTCAAGTATGTCATCCAACATAGGGATTGGGTGCCTATATTTAATAATGATGTTGTTGATAACCCTACAATCACAACACATTTTTCATTTGCATCCTTTTTGGGTACCAACAACTAGAAATGACAAATAAACTCGTATCCGTGGGTAATACCTGAACCTGTCCCGACTTTGACGAAAAATATCCAGTTTGATCGGGTACGGGTAAAACCCGATATATTAAACCGGGTACGGGTATATACTTACCCACTCCATACCCGTCCCCGTCCCTATTCTCGGTTTAATACCCACCCTTGATTTAATTGTGTTAAAGAATTTTAATATTTTATTATGTGTGATTATTTATTATAATCTGAAACATTTATAGTTGTTTAATTATTAAGAAGTCTCTTGATTAAAATATGAGATAGAGAAACAACCTAATTATAATTGTAATGTAATGGAAAAATAATTTAAAAATATTGTGTATTTTTTTTGCATAAAAAAATAATAATTTTTGACGGGTACGGATAGGGGTACGGGCATATCCGATACTCGACGGGAACGGGGATGGGGATGAGGATGGGGATGAGTTTGAGTCGTGGGGACAGAGACGTGTATCATGAAACCCGTACCCGACCTGTTTCGTTGCCATCCCTACCAACAACACTGGAACAACACAAAGACTAAGGCTCTTTTGAATCCAATCCTTCTTTAACAATTTATGCACTTGAGATTCTATTTCTTTTATTTCTTAGGGGTTAGTCCTATAAGATGACCTATTGGATAGGTTTGCTCTAAGGACTAAATCTATTTGATGTTCTATTCCTCTTGGAGCTGGAAGTCTCTTAGGGCCTTTTTGAGGAAATAGATAATCAAATTCTTTTAAAAGTTTTTGAACCTCTTGAGGTAAAGTCTTAACCTCACTCTTTGTGGTAGTGCAAGCTTTTATACCTTTGCACAAGAGAAGGTGAAGATGTTGTTCAAGATGGAGAGTCTTTTTTATATCACTTTTTGTTGCAAAATAATTTTCCTTCTTGACAACTTTGGAGAGTATACTATCCTCCACAACCTTTTCTTTTCCTTTTTTCTTAAGCCTTTTTGAGTTGTGTTTATAGTTGATCCTCAACTACTTGTGGAGGTGAAAAAGGATGCAATACAAACTTCTTGTTCTTATATGTGAGGGTTATCTTGTTGGTAAGGCTATTATGAATAACTTTCTTATCAAATTGTCTTAGTCTTCCCAACAAAATATGACTAGCTTCCTTAGGTACTACATCACATAAAACATCATCTTTATAGGTTCTTATGGAAAGTGTCACCATCACTTGTTGGTCAACTACCATTTCCTCCTTGTCATTTAACCATTGAAGCCTATAAGGCTTTAGGTAGGGAATGATAGTGAATGCTAACTTGTTAGTTGTTAAGCAACCTTGTATTACAAACGTTGCAATCAGAACCACTATCAACAATGAGAGAACAAGTTTTGTCTAAAACTTGGCATCTTCTATGAAATAAGTTCTCTCTTTGTGATTGAGTTAGTTCACAAGGTTGACTTTCAAGAAGCCTCCTAACCATCAAGAGATCACCATCACATGGATAAGTTTTCTCTTTGCTAGAAAACTTCCCCCTTCTTCTTCACTTCCACTAGAGGTGAAGGAAGAAGATGTAGTCCCCTCTTGACTACTAATGTGGTCTATGCCTCTTAAGACCATGGTATTCTTGGGGGACATTGAGAGACAATGTGACCTCTCTCTAGAACTAGTGTTGGGCATTTCTTTAACTTGAGAGGATTTTCCTTTATCCCGTTTTTCATTGGATGGTTCATTATTAGGATAACTCTTGGAGGAGTACCCTCCTTTTTTGTGGTCCTTCTTGTAATATGAAGAAGATGAGGATTCCCTCTTGAGAGAGGATTTCCTCTTGATTTGTTACTCAACCTTTATGCATAGTTGGACTAAGTCATTGATGTCCCTATATGACAAGAGCTCAATTTTATCCTTTATCTCAATGCTCAAGTCACTAAGGAACCTAGTTATAGTGGTTCTCTCTTCCTCCCTTATACTTGCCCTTATAATGTATAACCCCATGTTTTAACACATGTTCTTCAACTACATTGGAAATATGAGATTCTAGTGTGAGGTTTATAAGGCCTTTGGGTCTCCAACTACACGAACTAGGTTTTGTGGTGTGGTTCTCCCAAGGTTATTGATGGAAGAAACTTGGAGAAGTGATTGGAGTTTTCCTCCTAGCTCCATCTTCATTATCCAATCTTCCCTTGGGGTTCAAGTTCTTCACGGAAGCAAGGTTCAAACTCTTGGAGTTTGAAGAAGCAACATCAATGGCGTGGCAATCTTCTTGAAGAAGAAGTGATGAACCAAGGCACAAAGGAAGGATTCCTTTGTGAAGGTTCTTAAGGAGAGAGTGTTCTCCACGGATTTGGACTCTTGAGAGAGAGAGAATTTTCTGAATTCTAATCTCATAAATGTCAAAAGTGATTACAAAGCCAAGGAAAAAACTTATATAGAGTAGGGAAACTTATGGTCCAAGCTAGACTAACTATGGTTCAAGAGAACCATGGTTATTCAAGCTTGACTGGCCTAGTTAGTTTAGGAGGCTTGTGGAGCAAGCTTCTAACTTAGAAGCTTGGGAAGCAAGCTAAGTTAGAAGCTTGTAGCATAAGCTTCCTAAGTGTGTAGAAGAAGCTATGCAATTTGGCCAAGGAGAAGTGCTAGGCGGCCAAGGCTTATTTTCCAACATTTAATCCAATCCAAAATCTTGGAATTGGTTTAGTTAGGTTCACCAAATGATGGTGAGACCTAGCTAAATCAATTCCTTGGAAAAAATGGAGGAAAACAAGTCCAATATGTAAAATTTAGCCTAGGCCCACTTTTGGCCCAATTACTAGTTGCACCTACGCACCTTGCTATTTATCACCCCACTTCTGCTACGGAAAATATGAAAATGAGTGACCCTTAATACAAGGTCAAATGGAGCAAAAGTCTCCAAGTAACATACCCTAAATAATCAAAGGAAAATCCTAAAATAAAAGAGAGTGCCCCACAACTATAAAGGCAAACTGAACCTATACAAAGAACTACTATGTACAAAAGAGCTAGACCATCTCTTCAAGATGTGATGGCCCACATGAAGAGTAGCTTGGGCTTAGAAAGCCCACTAACCTCCAAGCTAGCCAATCCTTCCTGTGTGCTCCTAGCCATAGTTCGAGTAATTGAGCCCTTGGACCATGGTCCATCGGTTATTATCAATAGGTATCAACACCTTCCACCATGTCTTCCAACTGCAACTGAGCGACGCAGGTGGTGATGCCAGTATTGTAGTGTTTGCTTGGGACTAGTCAAAGGGGCTTGTGCACAACCAGTCTACATGGGTGTCGGGGTTGTGGAGCGTGGTGTGATGTTAGGATCCCATTCCATGGTATGGGACTTGAGTCCCACAGTGGAAGTATGGGATTTTAGTGTATGGTTTATAAGGCCTTAAGCTTTCCAACTACATGAGCTAGCTTTTGTGGTGTGGTTCTCCCAAGGTTCTTATTAAGTTCTAGTTGATTATGATTGCAAATAGTTGAATATTTGTATTGAGGCTTTTGTTTATGTAGTATTTTACTGTATTTGAAAAATGGGCCAACTTTTGAGCTATTTTTTTTTTTAAAAGAATCAACAAATTTTTCAAAGATGGATAGAGAAATCAGCAATTCACCTTCAATGGCTTGTTGACCTAGTTATGTTGATTTTTACTGATAAAGTTGAGTAACTTATTGTGCCCCCCTATCTTGGATCATTTGCTAGAACCAACTTTCATTTAATGCTTCTATTATATAGGAAGAATCCTGTTCACAAAACAATCTACGCAAACTATTGTTATATTTCGTTTGGTGATGTCATGTTGTTTGATTACTTGCAATTCCCTCTGTTATGTAATCTTTGTAGATTGAGTAGTTTAGACTTCAGATTTTGTCTCTTCTAAAATTACAAAATTAGTTCTTTAATAATTGTTCTTCCGCCAGATCACGCAACACAAGTGGGCTTGGCCTTTTATGCAGCCTGTGGATGTAGAGGGCCTTGGTTTACATGATTATTACGAGGTATGATTAATATATTCATACAAGTTTCCCCATGTTACATTAGCATTTCTATGGCCTTCACGGGGTATTTCATTACTAATATTCACAGACTTCAGAGCTTCATGTTCTTTTTTTTTTTTTTTTTTTTTTTTTTTGGGGTTTTTTTTTTTTTTTTTTTTATATTTTGTTGTGTAAGGTATGTTAAGAGAGAGAATGAGAGACATTTGATAAATTGTGTGTTTGATTTATACAATAGAGCCTCTTATTTATGATGATTCATAAATAGAAAAATAATAGGTAGCCTTATTTACAAAATTCTAATTACTATATTTGCATAAGTTCTAATATGTTTACATAATCTTTAACACTCCTCAAGCTGGACCACAAACTGACATCAATCCTACTCGACTTAGAACAGTCTTCCACAGCCACAAATCCCTCCTTTGTTGCACATCGGTCAACATGACCTTGGCCTCTAAGCCAAAAATTGATGTCAGAGGCCCAATAATCTTAGTTGCTCCTATCCAACTTGTTAACGAAGAGAGAGCAGAAACATGGTGAAAATGGAGGCATCAACCTTGGGACGGATAGAATTCACCATGGGTCAACGGAAACGAGAGAGAAAAGGCTATGAACTGTGCCAAAAAGGGCCAAAAGGTGAATCACAATACCCCAAATGGACAAAGAGAGCCTTGATCGGGCACGAGCTTAGGATCTGTTGAGTGGTGGTGACAGTAACCAGAAATGGTGGCGCACATGGCTGTGCAGTGGAGCTGTAGTGAGGAGAGAGAAATGTGATATACATTTGTTGTTTGTGCAGGCATGTCACTGCTTTGATGGCAGTGAAACTTTAGTGCCTTTCCAGTCTTGGGAATGCACTTGATCTGGCAGGTGGTCACTGAAAAACATGTCAGAAATGTGGTTGCCAGGAAGGAACTGTGTTTGGGACATAGGAAAATGAGAGAAAAAGGTGGCCAATAGTAGAAACACTACTATAGATTGGAGAGAAAGTCAGAAAACACACTTTATGTTAGAAAATTTCACCAATGGATAGGGATAAGGTTCAGTGGGAGTTCACAATGTTGTTAACCTCATAATTCTAGATAGGATCTAGAAGGGTGTCAAAACTCTTAGGGATCGAAAGATCACCCTTAAATGCAAAATTATAGTTATGTATCTACTTTGCATAAAAAGATATACATAAATGACGAAAATAACCTCTAAATCACAACATTAAACACTTAAATTGAAAAATTATATTCATAATGAGTTATAAATTCCAAATATAATACGTAACAAAATATACAATTCAACATAATTTCTTAAGTCACAACACATAAGTTCATAATACATTCACAAAACATAAGTAGAATAGTTGTTAACCAGTTGTTCAAAGTTAAGACTCTGTAGATTCAAAAAAGAGGTGAAAGTGGTGGTGGCACAGGGTAGTGCGGCAGTTGCAGTTGGCAGCAGTGGAAACAACTTCGGGTTGCAAATGAAGTGAGAAGCAAAGGAGATTGAGTCACGTATGAATGATAAAATGGAATTTGGGGCTTTTTAATCCGTGTCAAAAAGTGACCAGACCCGGAAATTCAGTTCTGCTTGCCTTGCTGTGGATCAATGATCTCACAATTATACTTGCAATTCTATTTTAATCCCATTCATCAGCAATCCCACGAGTGATTCAGCACAGAAGTTGTGGCTTAACTCATAGGATATTATGATCCTATGACTTAACTCGCTAGCCTGACTACAGTGATGTTCATGGAGTAGGGTTACCTCTCATCAAGCGCTAGATACTTGTTAAGAGAGGCAGAAAATGAGAGGCAATTGATGAGTTCCCTGTGTCTAATTTACATAGAAGAGGCTCTTATTTATTTAGTCATAGATACAAAAAATAATGTAGCTTATAATATCCCTAATTACAATATGTACATAATCTCTAAGATTATAGAAATGTAATTCTTTCGCTTTTCTCTAAAATAAACAAATACTATCCCTCATCATATTTTGAAATACAAGTATTCTTGTGATTGATTCTTTCATTCAGTAGTGTGTTTGTGGAATCTGGTTTTCCATATATTTCTCTTTCCATGCTTTGATTGAACTGTTGTACATGTTGCTTGATAGGTCATTGACAAGCCCATGGATTTCTTTACCATTAAGAATCAAATGGAGGCTAAAGATGGTACGGGATATAAACATGTTCGGGAAATATGTGTTGATGTGAGGTTGGTTTTCAAGAATGCTATGAAATATAATGACGAAAAAAGTGATGTTCATGTGATGGCAAAAACTTTGTTGGCAAAGTTTGAGGAGAAATGGTTGCAACTTCTGCCTAAAATTACTGAAGAGGTAACTTAATTCCAATGAATTGTTTTTTGAGACCACTTATTGTGTATGATGAAGATTACTAATTTAGAAATTTTGTGATTCTATTTCATAGTGGAAACTTAGATATTTTTTTTACAACATTGTCTTGATACCTCTTATCATATGAGGTTATTAAATTGTAGGAAACAAGACGAGAAGAGGAAGAAGCTGAAGCACAATTAGCCCTGCAAGCTGCCCAAGAAGCAGCTCAAGCTAAAATAGCTAGAGACTTGAGTAATGAGGTATTTGCATTTTATAAGAGGTTTATTAAGTATATAATATGGGACCATGACAATTTAATCAAACAATCCATAAATCTTTTTCTTAAAGTGTATTAACGATACATCTGATTTGGGTTTATTGGAGTATACGGAACACTTGAATATTGAAATAGATTGGCCAAAAAGGATCAGTCTTACTGATCTGTATATTTTCCTTATATTAAGAGAGATAGTGATTTGGGTTACAAGAAGAAAAGGCTACAAAGTAGGCTACAGAGTCTAGAAGCCTAAGTAGTCACATCAGAATAATACAGTAAATATTTAAAGAAGAAGCTTTCTAAACAAGCTATTCTAACATTAAGATGTCTGTCTTTTCAGCTGTATGAAGTTGATGCAATTTTAGAAGAGCTACGAGAGATGGTTGTTAAAAGATGCAGGTTAGTTGTTGCATCATATGTTTTATAAAAAAATAGATTCAAAAAATAACCTTTGATATATTTTGGTCTGAATTTTTGAATGTTGTGTTATGAAATTGTATGCATGCTTTGGCTGATAGTTCTGGGTAACATTATAAATTTATAATTGTTGGAGATCTCATATCAACTATTGAGATGGCCAAAATAGTGTATATAAATATAAATGGGAAACAATGTTCACCTTACAAGTCGATTTTATGATGTTGACTTATGCCCAAACCAGCATTCTAAAATCTCATGGATTGCTTCTTATCTATATACACTATTTTTGTCCTCTCACGAGTTGATATGTAACCTCCAACATACTCTTCTCACACCGATAATTAGACATCTGGAGTGTCAGGCTTTGATACCATGTAGGAATTGTGTGTAATGCTTGCACAAATTGATTTATTTATAATCTAGAGAAACCAATAAGTTGGGAAATAAATCCCTCAAAGTCTTCTATACATTGTTCTCTATTTACAGTAAATCTAATCATATATTTAACAATAATAAATCCATTCCTTCACCTCGATTTTTATAATTTTTTTTAATCGGTAGACACGTTTCTTACCTGCTGTCAGAAATAATATACAATTATTGAGAGCAAAATAATCTATGTGAAAAAATAATTATTTATCTGCATATTGTCATGTGTTAGATGATTTGTTGTGATTATGTTGGCCCTTGTTAGTTGTAAAATCTGAAAAATTTTGTCTCAAATTAATCCTGATTTGTGAATGTTAAAAAGGAGGGTACTGGATACCTGAGTAAGTTATCAACATTTACCTTTCTAGTTATTAAAGGAGATACCTAGTTTTAATTCAGATTAGTGGTGTGATTCACAATTCAATGTGTTATGTGTGTAGTTTGTCATGAAAGTTTTGATCTATGTTGTGATTCAGGAATTGTGTGGATTGTTGTACACACACCAATCTTAATCATAGAGAGAATACAATAAATGATAAAGATACTAATCTCTAATATTATGAAAACTAATCTAATCATATCCCTAATTGATAGTGAGGATAATAACCATAATATCTGTATCCACAATATCTGTAATATATCCACAATATCTGTAACAAGGTATATTGGTGCTGTCCAAGGAGGTGACAAAAGCCCTGTATTCTTGTGATAATCTCTCAAATTATTTCCAATTGGGTGTTGGGTGCATGACCTCATCCCTTTTCTCAAGGCAATAGGTATATCCAGGTCATTAATGTTGGAAATATCATTTTTTAAATTTGATAGAGAACTAGGAAAGGATGTGTGACTTGTGTGAAAATTTTCAGGTTCTGAATTTTAGTCAGAATCTTGGTTTTGCCTTAGAAGTGTGTAGGTTTCTGCCTCCTTTTGAGTTTTTTTCTTTCTTGAGTACACTTGCAGCTTTTTATCTCTAAGAACATTGAATTCTCAAGTACCGCAGCAGGTAAATTATTGGATTCACATTCAGGTTCTGCTCCTAATTCTGGTGCTAGATCTGTCATAGATTAGGTTTTAGGGCCAAGTACAGGTTCAGCAATGGCAAGTTCTGAAGTTAGTGGAGCTTGTATATGAATCTCCCAAGGTTGGTATTCACTAGTATTCTTGCTCTTCCCCTGAATGCCTCGCTTGGGGTAAAAGGGTTGGTTTTCAAAACATGTAACATCATGGTATGGTAGACTTTGAAGGACAATAACACTTGTATCCTTTCTTGTTCGGAAAGTATCCAAAGAATATACATTTCAAGCCTTTAGGATCAAGTTTGCTTTAAAATTTGGTTTTTGGTCAAGTACAAATGACGTACATCCAAAGATTTTAGGTTGAAGTTTTGAAAGGAGTTTGGTGTTTGCGTATATGGACGATAGAGTTTCATGGGGGGGGGGGGTTGTAAAGTTGAGGGTTTTGGAAGGCATTTTATTTATTAGGTAAGCTGAAAAGAGGACAGATGCACCTGAAAGATGACTTGGCACAATAGCTGATAGCATGAGTGATCTTGTAACTTCCATGAGGTGCCTATTCTTCCTCTCTGCAATTCTATTTTGTTGTGGTGAGTTCACTCATGAAGTTTGGTGCCCAATTCCATGCTTGAGGAGGTAATCACCAACAAATTTTTGTAGGTACTGCTTCTCATTGTTGATTCTCGAGATTTAAATGTTGGCTTGAAACTAAGTTGGGATCAATTTATGAAAATTACCAAAATTCTTCCCCAATTTTGACTTCTCTTTCATAAGGAACACCCATGTGGTGGTAGTAACTCATCTCTTGACTAAGCGAGATGAGACTTTGCATCAACTAATGCATAATCTAGATAGCGCACAATAGGTAATGCAACATTATGCAAACAAACATCGTAGGGAGGTCACTTTTCAAGTTGGTGATATGGTGTATGTTAAGTTGATGCCTCATCATTAGAATTCACTAGCTAAACTAGTCAATCCTAAGTTATCTGTCGGCTATTATGGTGGCTTTCAGTTTCGTTCCCGAATTGGTGAAGTAGCTTATAAGCTTCCGTTGCTCGAGACTTCAAGAATTCACCCCTATTCCATGTCTCCCAACTTAAAGAAGCCATTGGAAGTCATCAAATGGAACCTTTCCTTCCTCCTGCACTTGAGGTAGATGATTTTTCCTTTATGGAACCTGAAGATATCCTTGCTACTCGAGAAACAACTAAAACTGGACAAAAAGTTTGTAGGTTGAAAAAGGATTTGTATGGCGTCAAACAATCTCGTCAAGCATGGTTTGGAAGATTTACTCAAGCCATGAAGCCCGTGGGATACAAATAGAGTCACGGTGGTCATACTTTATTCATAAATCATTTTCTTGATGGCAAACTAACCCTTCTCCTTGTGTATGTAGATGATATGATTGTTGCAGGGGATGATGAGTTTGAGAAACTAATTCTAAAAGAAAGACTGTCAACTCATTTTGAAATGAAAGAGTTGGGAAAACTTAAGTATTTCCTTGGAATAGATGTTGCATACTTTAGAAAAGGGATGTTTATTTCTCAAAGGAAATACATTCTTGATCTTTTGAAGGAGATAGGAAAACTAGGGTGCAAGACCATAAGGGTGCCTATTGAGCAAAATAACAAGATTGAAAGTGAAGAAAGTCCACCTGTAGAGATGTCCCAATACCAAAGATTGGTAGGGAAGTTGATATATCTATCACACACTAGGCTTGATATTGCTTGTGCGGTTAGTGTTGTCAACCAATTTATGCATGACCCTCGTGAAGGACACCTTCAGGTAGTTGAGAGGATTCTCTAGTATCTAAAGTCAAGTCTAGGGAAGGGATTGTTATTTGAAAGAGAATGTTTATTGTCCATGCAGATATACACTAATATTTACTACAGAGGGTCCATCGTAGATATAAGATCCACTTCCGATTATTGCATTGTTCTTGGTGGGAATCTAGTAACATGGAGAATCAAGAAGTAGAATGTAGTTGCTAGATCTAGTGTAGAAACTAATTTTCGAGCTATTGCACATGGCATATGTGAAGGATTAGGGATGAAAATTATTCTTGATGACCTTAAAGTTAAAAACGAGGTCCAATGAAGTTGTTTTGTGATAACAATTCAGCTATCAACATTGCTTATAACCCAGTTCAGCATGAGACAACAAAACATAGAGATTGATAGACACTTCATGAAAGAGAAGTTGGATGGTGGCCTTATAGTTACAGCTCATATACCTCCAGGAGTTCAAGTAGCAGATGTCTTTGCAAAGGGACTTCCTAGTGCTAGATTTCAAGATCTTATTGGCAAGTTGGGAATGATTGATATTCATTTACCAACTTAAGGGGGAGTGTTGTAAATATCATAGATAATTAGAAGATCTAGAATATCTCTAAATATGTTTAGATATTTGTTTCCCTATTTCTTTATTATTATTATTTCCTTATTTAAGCATGGTCATTTACTCTATAAGAGGGATATTAGAGAATGTACAAAATACACAATTAATATACAGTTTCTTTTTCCAACTTGGGTTTTGGTCATTTTTGGGTTTCTGCCATTAATATGATCTCACTAATACAGCTCTAAATTTGCAATTTTGAGAGTCAAAATGAGTTTTTCGATTTTGAGCAAATCCAAGTTTCCATGCAAATTGGTGCAATTTTTTCACTTTGGGGATCCATGTCTACCACTGCCTCAATTCAGCAAACTGTTCAGCTGGTGACTACACCATTAGAAGTGCTTAGTCTTGATCATTCATCCCACAAAAGACTCATTTAAAGATTCCCTTGAATGCAACTACTTGTGCTGTACAAACATGCTGCTCTTTGCTAACATAGAGCTTACCACTTTTGTCATGCATGGCTATGCTTAGTGAATTTCTACCCAAACCTTTTTTTAGGCTTGTTTTCTCTACATTGTTTCTCCTTTTCGGCTTGCTCTAGTTTGGTTTTGCTTTATCTAACAATAACAACAGTTTATCTACTTTGCTTCTTGATTTGACTTCTTCAATTGTCTCAGATGTAGTTTAGCTTGCTAGTCTTCAGTCCCCAGTGCTTTGGCCTTGCATATTCAATCATGACCTCATGGGATGATGATCATTCCACCCATGTTTAATGGTGCCCATATTAAAGTTTAGTAAGCATTAGCTTTGTTTTGGTATAGTAGTAAGACTTGAAAAGGAGAATGATTTTATTATTATCATTCATACGTATTACATTTTCCTAACACCTATTTGTAACAATCTAATCTTCCAAAATAAGGAAATAAGGAAAAAAATATTCTGAAAAATAAACTAGAAGATTCTACAGATATTTTTTCTAATTAAGAAGATTTTCTTCTAATTACAACACTCTCCCTCAAGTTGGTAAATGAATATCAATCATTCCCAACTTGCCTACAAGATCTTGAAATCTACCCTGAGGGAGCCCTTTTGTAAAAATATCTGCTATCTGAAGTTCTGTAGGAACATGAGTTGTTATCACAAAGCCTCTATCTAGATTATCTTTGATGAAATGTCTGTCAATCTCAATGTGTTTGGTCCTATCATGTATTGGATTATGGGCAATGCTCATGGCAGACTTATTGTCACAATATAGTTGCACGGGGTTGTCCACCTTGACTTTAAGGTCATCCAAAATGATTTTCATCCAGAGTGTTTCACACATTCCTCGAGCAAGGGCTCGAAATTCAGCTTCTGCACTAGAACAAGATACCCTATATTGCTTTTTGCTCCTCCACGTTACTAGACTATCTCCAAGAAACACACAATACCCAGAAGTAGATTTTCTAGTAATAGAACCTGCATAGTCAGCATCAGTATATATTTTCATAGTCAATGTATCTTCCCTTTTGAATAATAGCCCCTTTTCTGGACTTGACTTCAAGTACTGGAGAATTTTGTCAATTGCTTGCATGTGTCTCTCTCTTGGATCATGCATAAATTGGCTCACTACACTAACTGCATAAGCAATGTCTGGTCTTGTGTGTGATAGATAAATCAATTTTCCAACTAATCTCTGATATTGGGCCTTCTCTACAGGAACACTTTCTTCACTTCCAATTTTGTGATTCTGCTCTATAGGAACTGTTGAGGTTCTACATCCCTGCTTTCCTGTTTCTTTGAGGAGATCAAGTACATATTTCCTTTGGGAGATGAAAATTCCATTCTTGGAATAAGCAACCTCTATTCCAAGAAAATACTTGAGTTTTCCTATCATATCATCTACATAGACAACCAATAGAGTGAGTTTACCTGTAGAAGAGTGCTTTATGAATAGAGTATGATCTCCTTGGCTTTGTTTGTATCCCAAGGAAACCATTGCTTTTGTAAATCTTCCAAACCATGCTCTAGGGGATTGCTCAAGACCATACAATGCTTTCTTTAGGAGACATACCTTGTTTCTTTCATTTTGCACTTCAAAACCTGGGGGAATCTCCATGTACACTTCCTCTTCCAGATTTCCGTGAAGAAAGACATTCTTCACATCCAACTGGTGTAAGTCCCAACCAAAATGAGTAGCCAAAACGAGAACAACTCGAACTATATTCATCTTTTCCACTGGGGCAAATGTCTCCTCATAGTCAATCCCATAAGAAGAGCTCTAGTTACTTCTAGAAGATGACGATTCTTTCTTTCTGCAACCCCGTTTTGTTGAGGGTGTTTACACATGTTAGTTCATGAACAATACCATTATGATACATGATTCACATATTCAGTACCATTATCAGACTTGATTCTTTTGATATTTTTTCCAAATTGATTTTGGACCAGACGGAAAAAATTAACAAAGATTTGAAAAACTTCTGATTTATTTTTCATAAGGTATGTCCATGTGACACGAGTACAATCGTCAATAAAGGTAATGATCCATTTGACTCCGGAAATAGATTCCACGACAGGTCCCAAACATCAGAGTGAATTAAATCAAATGGAGAAATACTCTTTTTTATTACTAATAGGATAGGATGCACGATGGTGTTTTGACAATTGACAAATATCACAATTAAAAGACTCAACAGACTCCTTAGTAAACAAATGAGGAAATGAGGACTCGAGAAGGTTGAATGAAGGATGCCCAAGCCATTTATGATGTAGCCATATTTGGGAATTTGCCCACGTCTCAGATGTAGCTTGTTGACTCATGATTTTTGTTTTCTTTTAGTCATCAAATTGCAATAGATACAACCCACTTTGCTCTTTAGTAGTTAAAATTGTCTTCCCCGTAGCAAGGTCCTGAAAAACACAATGAGTCGAGAAAAATGTTACCGAACAATTTAAATCTTGTGAGCTTTTGCACAGAGATAAGATTATTGGCTAATTGTGGAACATGTAAAACATCCTTTAATACAATAGATGATTCCAAAATTATATTCCTAGAGCCGCATATGGGTACACCTTGACCATTCGCAACTGTAATAAGTTGTTCTCCATTCCTTTTAATATATGATTTGAAGATCATATGAAAATGTGTCATATGATCAGTTGCTCCTGAATCAAGAATCCAAATACCTTGAGACACAGGACCCACAGTATAGAGAGAACTCTTACCTTTCATGGACAGATTACATGGTCCAGAGGGCTTACTTATTGATTCAATGATTGCTTTCAAACGATCTAGTTCCTCCTTAAATGCTTTCATCTCAAAAATCTGATGGTGGTAACGTAATGGATTGATTCGGCGACTTTGTCTGTAGCGACAATGATGAGTGGGCTACACCGGAAAAGGAGCAAAAACTCAAAAAACTCAGATCTACTAGAATCTAGGCCAAATGGGAAGTCACCGACCTGTGGAACGGACTTAGGAGGCTTCGGCGATCGGTTCTGTGAGAGCAGCGGCGAGTGGGTCTTGCCACAGCTAGGCGCATGGGACGTCATCGGAAAAGGAGCAAAACTCAAAACTCAAATCTACTAAAATATGGGCCAAATGGGACATTACTGGAATGGACTCAGGAGGCTCCGACGACTCTTTTTATGACGGCAGCGGCAAGTGGGTCTCATCGGAGCTAGGCGCGTGAGCTACATGCGCCGGCGACAGTGGCGGCGCGTGGCGGCGTATTTCTCGAAACAAATTCTCGCGTTGTGTTTGCCGGAGTTGGGCGCACCTTTCTGCCTTATCAACGACCCCAACGGCTACGGTGGTAGCCATAGTGACCGGACAGCGACGACGGTGGCTACTGTTGCAACAGAGATGGAGAATGGTTTTATTATTATCATTCATACGTATTACATTTTCCTAACACCTATTTGTAATAATCTAATCTTTCAAAATAAGGAAATAAGGAAAAAAAATATTCTAAAAAATAATCTAGAAGATTCTACAGATATTTTCTCTAATTAGGAAGATTTTCTTCTAATTACAACAGTCAGCTTTGGCTTGAAGGGGAGCTAAGGATATATGAAATTATGAAATTTTCTTGACCATATCTTAGACTCGGGATTATTTAGAATATATAATAATATCAAGATATGTCTTAGAATTATTTAGAATATCTAGTTTTTAAGTTTCCATATTTTCTAATATCTCTTTTATTGCTTCCTTATTTTGTTAGGATTTTGATTACTATAAACAAGGGTTGGTGCTTTAGGTTTTGAGAACATCCTCACATAATAACACATCATAATACTCTCCTATTCCTCCTATTAAGGGTCTTCATAGACTGAGTCAATCCAATAAAATATTAAAAAACCAATCCAAAAATTGAATAAACTAGAAACAAACAAATAAAAAAATCAAAATTTTTATTGGATTGGATCAGATTTGATTTTGAAAACTTAACCAAAACTTTTAACTAATTGAGTAATGGTACAAAAAGTAATTATCGAGTTTTTTAAATTTATTTTTAATAGTATTTACATATTGGAAGAGTTATACTACTATTAACTATATAATGACTTATAAATAAAATATTTGATAATCTAAATAAGTTTTATTATGTTTATTATATATCATATTGAAATATTTTTATTAAGTTTATTATATATCATATTGTTTATTTAATATTTTCTCTAAAGAAAATTAACAGTCAGATTAAAACCAAAAACCATACCAATCCAAACCACATTAAATTATCGAATTTAATTTTTAAACTAAACAAAGTGGATAATAAATTATGAAAACCAAAGTGATCAAATCAGATTAGAGGATCCTATACCTTAAATCCTATAATTTTCAATATTGTTGTGGATTTATTTAATAAAACAGTAATAGCATTTTTAGGTTTGAAAAGCACTTTTAGATATATTTTTATGATTTGAATGGAACATTAAAGTGCGTTTCAGTCGTTGAAAAATAGAAATCTGGGTCAAAAGATAAAGGGAAAAAAATATACCAAAATAATAAAAAATAAAATAAATGTTGCATTTGCCACATTATAGAAGTCCTATAAAATAATAGAATAAACCTCGAATTTGCTTCTCCAAATATTTTAAAGAACCAATTTGACGTCATTTTCATTTGATAGAAACAATGGTATATAAATATTGAATTTCGGAGCTATTTCATTTCTCAATCATATCGTTGGAGGCAATTTGATATATTTATAAATGGAGATCCAATTTGATGTTTCCTGTATCTTTTTTGGAGCATTAAAATGGACATTTAATGTTTTTCAACAGATTGTCTTTTAGCAACTTCATGTTTGACAAATTTTGCCTCTCATTCCTCTCCTCAACCCCAAATATTGTCACATGTCGTGTGAGTACATATTTGTCTTTAGTTAGCTTTGAGATATTGCGTGGACCATGTCTATGGAATAAAAAAAATCCAAATATTGTTATTTTCATCATTTAACAAATGAAAGAGTGCTTCTTCATCACAGAAGTGGTTTGCAAAAACTGTAGAATTTTGATAGCATGGCTATACACAACTCTATCCTTTGTATCATCCCTAACCTCTACATTGCTCTTGCTCCATGTGCATTCCAATTTTTCTTTATTTTTTTTTTAAATAACTCGGTAACTCCATATCATCTCTAACCTCCTCTTCATTGCTTTTGCTTCATCTGTATTCCAATTTTTTCCCTCTCTATAAAATAACTTTACCTTGTAACTCCAGAAAGCTAAATTTGAGAAAATTGGTTGCAGAAAAATGTCAACCGAAGAAAAGAGAAAGCTTGGAGATGCTCTTACCCGATTATCACCTGAAGATCTAAGCAAAGCATTGGAAATAGTTGCTCAAAACAATCCTGGCTTCCAAGCAACTGCTGAAGAGGTGGATCTTGATATGGATACTCAGGTCATTACATGTATATTTCAAAGTGTCATATCATTCAGTTTTTTCTTTTCTTTTTCAGAACATAAATAAAGAGAAAGAAAATAAAAAATAGAACTAAATTTGTTTTTAATTCTTGGATTGAATTACTGATATTCGTCATAAATTGATATAGTATGCTTATGTGTATATTGTGTTCCTTGAAGCAGAGCGAGTCTACCTTGTGGAGGTTAAAATCTTTTGTTAAGGAAGCTTTAGAAGTGCAGGGCAAGAATTCAGGAAGCATTGGTGGCAATGAGAACCAAAACAACAACAAAAAACGAAGAAAAGGGTTGTGTGATGCAACTGCTAAAACGAAGAAGACTACCAAGAAACCTACTTGAAGATCATTTGGCAGCTTTTAGATTGTCTCAATTATGCTGATGCTGAAGGAGTAATTGCAAGAAAGAAACCCATGAATTTGAAGGCATTTTCTTGTTGTGGCTAAAATTAATCTCTCATGCTAACCATAGTCTTTTCAAGTGGTTCCTTTCTACTCGGGAAGAAGACCTTGAGATGTAACACAGTAGTTTTGTGGTGGGACCCATGTATTATTCATTTCTAGTGATTAAATAGGATAAAAAGTTTCTCATACAATGCTAATTTGATTTTCATTTGTGATTAGAAATCAATGGCCAAGTCACGGGAATGGTGTATATTATCTTTAAATAATTTGAGTGTAAGGTCTGGTGTCATCTTTTGACTTGTCTTTCCATATTAGCTTCCATTTGCTTCAGGTCAGAATTCTTTACGTTTCTTTTAGAAATTGTTATTCTAGAATGTTAGAATTACTTCAAACTATCTATGTTATTATGAAGTATATGATATCAGAGATTTGGTTAGAGTGTTCTATTCCCATATATGTAAGCAGCGTGACAGAAGATTAAAAAAAAAAAAAACCGGACATATTTTTCGGTACATTCAAGTTTGGTTGTTGGATCAGGTAAAGTTGTAAATTAATTTGTGCTTTTTGTTCCCTAAAAAAATTCTTACGTGAATAACTTATTTTGTCCAAATTAAAGGGAAACAAATTTGAAGTTAGAAGAAAAAGGAATAAGGAAAATTGTATGAGTTTATGTATGTAGAACCCTAAACCCTCAACTGATGGAGGACCATCCAAGGAGGATACGTACTTGAAGGCTATTGGACCTTTAACTAGGTCCATGGTTAAGAGGCTGAAGGAAGCTTTTACAGAGGAGGTGTTTTTTAAACCTTTGCTCTTCATGAGCATTGAGTATGATTCCTGATGACAAATCCTACTGAAGAAGATTGATGTTCTTCATTCTTGATTTGCACGGCCACTTGATCTTCTCTTTGAGGATGAATAGACGCTGATTCCAACAAGGGAAGAAGGATGATCCGAACCATACAAAGGAGGGAAGCACCTTTGCCAAAGTGAGTAAAGGATTACTTACAAAAAGGAACTTAAGCCTAGAGAAATTCCTAGAACTTAGGCTAGGGTCAAGTGACTTTCAGAGAGAATTTGGTTGAATAAGATTTCAGAAATTTTCATATAACATTCAAAGTGAATATACAAGGAGAGAAAAGGGTATTTAAAGGTCACAAATCAATTGAAAATGGCGCTACATCCATGTGCTCAAAGTGGCGCCAATTTTGAAGAATTTGAATTCAAATTTAGACGTCCCACTTTTGCATACCCATGTGGCAGTCCCTTCTAGAATCCTAATTATATTTAAGTGTAATTTAGGATTCATTTGATTAGTCACATGTGCAGCCACCCTTGACATAAAATATGTGACTCAAATGTAATTATAATTTTCCTTAAATGTAATTTACAACTCCATGATTCATGCCTATTACTTTTTCCCTTTACATTGCTATTATAATAGCCTAAATACAATGGCCAACCAAATACAATGGAAAGGAAAAGTTACAAGAATTAAAATGAGCCCCATATTGAGTACCAAAAGTCCAAAGGCTCATAAAGCCCAAAACTAGGCCCATTAAGCCTAAGGCCTAACATTCCTATACTAGAGGTCCATAATACAAGACCAACAATTATGAAATCCTACACTACTAAAAACACAATAAAAAGCCCATGTGAAGAGTACCCTAGGCCCACCAAGCCCATTGGGCCCACTAAGCTTTGAAGCAGTCAAATCTTCTAGTAGTCTCCTTGTCATAGCTCTAGTGGTTGGACCCTTGGTCCATGCTCTTCCATCAATTCCTCTTATTAGTCTCTTAGACTCCATTGTATATACATTGTATGATACTTGTACATAGTAGTTGCTTGTATAGGTATATTTTTTCCTTTGTATTTGTGAGGCACTTTCCTTCTTTTATTTTAGGTTATCTTTTAGAAATTTAGGGTATGTTACTTGAAGACTTTTACTCCATTTGAACTTGTATTAAGGGTCATTCATTTTTATATTTTTCAGTAGTAGAAGTGAGGTGACAAATAACAAGGTTTATAGGTGTAACTGGTAAATTGGGCCAGAATTGGGCCTAGGCCAAATTTTACATATTGGACTTATTTTGCTCCATATTTTCCAAGGAATTGATTTAGTTAGGTCTCGCCATCATTTGGTGAACCTAACTAAACCAACTCCAAGTTTTTAGATTGGATTAAATTTGGGAAAAACAAGTGGGCCGCCTAGCTTAGTTCTTTGGCTAAATTGCTTGACATGTCTTGCACCCTTGGGAAGCTTGTGCTACAAGCTTCTATCTTAGCTTGCTTCCGAAGCTTCTAAGTTATAAGCTTGCTCCACAAGCCTTGTAAAGCTACTAGACCGGTTAAGCTAAGATAACCATGGTTCTCTTGAACCATAGTTAGCCTAGCTTGCACCATAAGTTTCCCCCACCCGATATAAACCTTTTTCTTACTTTTGTAATCACTTTTGTTGATATATTTGAGTGAGTTTAGAATTTTTTCAAAACATTCTTTCTTCCAAAAGTCTCTAACTTCTTTGATATTCATCCAATTCTCTTATCCTCTCAAAGAAGATGTGGTGAGGATTGAAAGGGCTTATCTCCTCCAAGGATTGGCACCTCTTGAAGAGTGTTCTACACCAAAGCATTAGTGGAATACGAAGCTTCTCATCCATTGGAGGCTTTGGAAAGCTTAAGGAGAATCAAGGAGCCAAAGGTCTTGGGAAGAACTTGAAGAGGAATCAACATCAATCCAGTTCCACTACAAGTTTTCCATAATTTGGTATCAAGAGCTAGGTCTCCTTGGTAAATTCGTTCTTAAGCTTTCTTGTCTTATTTGTTTGGTCAAATCATGTAGTAAAGTGTCTAAAACTGTTCCTAATTGTGTTTTCCTTTATTGTCTTGTGTTTGTGTGCCTTGAGTTGCTCTTGTGTCACATTAATAAATCTATAGAATAACTCACGTTGTCTTGCTTGTTTTGATTCATGCACTACTTCTGGTGAATCAATCTTTGTGTGTGCCTTTAGGTATTCTTTGTATGTTCTTTTTAATGTTTTAGGATTCCTTTTATCTTCCATTGCACTCCTAATATTTTCAGTCAAAATGAAACTCCTAAAAAGAAACAAGAATACAAGCATTTTTCATTTCTTAATCTCCTAGTTTTGTCTTAGAGTCATGTGTAGTTGCTTTTCTTGTCATTAAATCTCTTGTGTGCCTTTTTATTTTTGAATCTATATTCATTAACCTCTATTTTGTGTGGTTTTATTGCTGGCTGAACATATATGATTCTTAGATGTGCTCATTAAATGATTTCAATGGATGTTATTAGTCCTAACAAGTTCTGGAGTCAATTTTTGTGAACCTCAATTGCTATTTGTTTCTTAGCAATCTAAGGCCAGAAATTCCTTGTGTCTTTTTGTGCTTATTTTGAAAAACAAAATAGAGTAATAAGTGTGTTAAAAACGAAAATCAAAGGTTTACAAAAAGAAGAACAAACTAGTGCCAAAAACTAGTAACTATTTTGATTGATTTTTGACTTGTACACTTACACTTCTTACTTCACTTTTCTCCACCACTTGGAAACCTATTTATTAATTTTTTGGCCTCTGGTTTTAAGTGCTCATATTCAGTATTAAAAATAAAAAGAAAAGAAAGAGTCAAGAAGACAACAAAAAGAAAAGAAAACAAAAGCAAAAGCTAGAAAAAGAAAAGTGAAAAACAAAGAACTATTAGGAGAACTTGGCCTTGAAAATTTTTGTGATTTTTCTTAAGGTTAACTTGTTGTCCAGTGGATGGAAAAAGATTTCTAAACACTCAAAATAATAGCACAATATTTTTTTTTTGATTTTTTTAATCAATTCTAAAGCCATTCCTAGGATTATTCCTTTGAGTCCTAGTGTTGAAATTAGCCTTTAATTGTGGCTTTGTGTCTTTCCTGGCTCTCTTTGAGTTTGTCACAATAAATTCCTACTCTAGTTTAGCCTCTTATAATTGTGCATTTTTGGTTTTGATTTTATTGGACTCCACATTCTCTTGATGGTTGTTAAGCCTTGGTGAAGCTAATCCATTTTCAAGTCATTACACTTGGAAAGGAATGGTAATTGAGACATATTGGATTCATCTAAAAGAGGCCACCACTTGAGCAAGATTGAGGTAATAAAATCCTTGAGTGATACACATTGGAAAGGCTCACTTGTTTGCTCATTTTGCAGCCAATAAATTTTTTTGTTTAGGTGGCAGAATTTTGAGAAAGATTCAGAGACGAAATTAGAGATGGATTTCTGAAAACCAATTCTGGTTCTAGTTGAGACTAAATTTGTGACCAGACTTAGAGACAAATTTCTAGAAAACCAATTATGGTTCTAGTTGAGACTGAAGTTGCGACCAAAATTAGAGACGGATTCTAATAGCACTATTCCAACAAGGGAAAATTGCATTTAGAGACAGAAATTAGCGACAAAATTGTGTGAACAGTTACAGGGACTCCAAATCAGTCACTAAATCAGTCACAAAGCTGTCTCCAAATTTGGTCACCAATCTTTTGGGTGAAAATTTTCAATTTCTTGAATTGTATTCCATTATCTTTCTTGTAAATCTTTAACCCCACCCTTGGGTTAATTTTTAGCTTTTCTTTGTTTAATCAAACTCACATTTAGGAGTGGTTGTTTGGGAAATTCTTTTGTTTAAATCCCACCACTTCCTAAATAGTTCTAAATAAAGATTCTTAAACCATTTAGCATTTGTGGAAGTGTCCCCAAAAGGCTTCAAGTGTCATTTGGGCTTCCACAAGGATTCACCTAGTTTTATAGCTTTTATAGAATTGTTTAGTACTTGTGGAAGTGGTCCAAGGGATTCTAAGTGTTACTTGGACTTCCACCCCAGGAAATTCGACTAGTATATGTTTTACTTGCTTTCTTTACTTGTGTAATTCCAAAGTTCGTTTAGAAGACTTTTTTGCCTACTAGGGGTCTCGTGCACACACACACACACACACACACTATTATTTGACTTGCTTGTGTGAAAAATTGATTTGTGAGACAAGTATAAGGGGTTTAGTAATTTCCATGAAGTTTAGTGAAAACACACAGAAAAGGGGGTTGAATGTGTGTGAACGAAGGATTTTAAAAAGCGTTTTCGCAAACGTGCTTCTTTCCATTAGAAAATAAAATTTTAGGTGCTTAATGAAAATGCAAGTTTGGTTAAAAGAAACTCTGCGTCTGAAGATCTATCGTCTGTTCGAAAATGGTTTCTCAAATCAAACAATATAAATTCATCTAAGAATGGTTTAGAGAATACGTAGTAGCAGACGAAATTTTTATGATGAATCAATATAAGTAAAATTGCATTTTTACATCAAATAACAATGCATAAAGTTTTTATACTGGTTCACTCGTGTTGAGCTACGTCCACTCTCCTTCAACTGAAGAGTTCCACTAATCACAACGGATTACAA